ATACAAATCTAGGGTTCTCCATACCCAGATGAATGGGGAAACTACTCCATAGAGAAAGAAGCAAAAGCAGATTCAGACACGGAAATCATACTGTGAAGTTGGATTCCTGCTTCTGGACGTTTAATCGCACTTCTCCAAGCTCAAGACGGGCTCCAATGGTGTTGAAGATCGATCTATGGCGCTTGAGAACTCTGGTTCGACGCTTTCTCTCTCTAGGTATCGGTTTCTCTCTCAAAAACTCGGAACCCCTCAATGTTGACCTTCTTCTTCCTTAAATCAGCTGCCTGGTCGCGATACCCGGTCAAAATACCCGGTCGGGTATTTTGGGTATCGACCGGGTATCTCTGCAGCGCACCGTTTCACTAAAGGGGGAAATCCCCGGTCCAACACCAAAATCCCCGACCGGGGATTTAACTGTTGTGCTCGGGCCCCTCGCTGCTTCTCGGGCGCCCAAAATTGGTTAATACCCGGTCGGGTATTTGGCCACCTGACCGGGTATTTTCCTCCTTCAGCCCTATTCGTCCCAACCTTGCTCCTTTCGACCCAGAACTCGTTTCTCCGCCTCGATTCCAACGCCGGGACCTGAAATATGACATAAACACACAACCTAGCGTGAAATCGGCTTAAAACACGAGATTCCTCGTCACAAACGGCCTCAGAATAGGGGTAAAAACATGTATAATTATCAGTCTATCAGTCTGGCAAAGAGACACTGCAAATGGGTCCTTGCCAAGCAGCTCCTCGAAGTTTGGTGGAGATATCACATGTAACTCATGGCCGGTGCAAACCTCTTCCACCTCAACTTCGTCCTCAGCCTGGACGCCAATTGCTTCTTCAACCTCCCTTTCTTCTTCATGTGGTATCACCCCTGGGAAATGATCAAGAACTCCTTCTGCTTCACTTTCGTCATCCTCCACAACTTCTTTTTGCACCCTTTCTCTCTCTTCTTCTTCTAGCACGGATTGGAGAGCAAGTTGCCAAGCAATTTCTCTCATGAGATCTTCTTGCATCTCCTCACTCATGCCCACCTCTTCAAAGCTCAGTGTGGGGTGCGGGAAAGGGTGGTCGGCTACGACAGGACATTCCTGATCATGATCATCTCGGGAGCTCTCCGTGACAACTTCTGTGTGCTCCACGATGTCCTTGTAGCCTTCTTCTTTCTCGTCCTCTTCTAGTACGGTAGCAGACGGGTGATCTTGAGCAAGTTGTGAGCAAACTTGCAACACCCACTCTGTTTGCTTCGCTGAGCGTTGAACAGCCTCCTCCATATCATGGAGATATGAGGGATCGGAAGAGGAAAGGGCTTGGATGTGAAGATCCATTCTGCGATTGCGTCTCTCGGAGTCCCGAACAAACTGCTCCAGGAGAAGCTTCAGTTCATAGTTTGGATCTGGCTGTGGAGTGTAGCATGGCTCTGCAGAATGGCCCGTGAAGGCCGCCATGGGTAACTCCAGCGCTGATGGCCCTTCTGGTTGTGGGAGAAAGTCTTCTTGGTAATGAGATTGTTCTTGATATGCCCAGGGGTCAGATTGTTCTCCATAGTAAGGGGGTTGGTACTGGAACCCGGATCCATAGTCTTCTCCTCCTTGATTGCTCCAGGGTGTCTCGGGGTAATACCACTCGGATGGTGGTGGATACCCCCAATGGTTGGAGAAGCCATGAGGATCCATGATTCAGATCTGCACCAACAAAAACTAAAACACCCAAGTGAAAAGCAAGGGTGGAAAACAAAAGAAAACGCTAAAGTAACAAACTTCTGCCTTTCCTAATAATCTAGAAAGTCCCCGGCAACGGCGCCAAAAACTTGACTCGCTAAAACACAACACCTAACAATGGCCAAGTGTAACCAATGAAAGGGACTGCAGTATAGTGGCTCAAGTAATAAATATCGAATCCACGGGTCTCTAGAGTTACTATTACTCAGCTTCAGTTCGTTATCTAGCAAAACAGATTAAGTTGAAAGAACTAAAACTACTCTAGCAAACTACAGTTAAAGTTAATCTAATTACAGGTTGGGAACTCACTTAGGTATGATTCCCCCTAGCCACTAGCCAGATTAATGATTGATGATTTCTAACTTGTTTCACTTTCATTCACAATGCGGAGAATCCTTGACTAGACCTTGAGTCTCGACTAAAGGAACAAGGCCCTCTTGAGTCAATTGCCTAGAGGGACGTATCCTTCTCTAGAACAACCGATCAAGGCGTTCTGAACTAGATTCCCTCTATCAAATGAGGTTCTCAATCGATACAAAGCAGTGAATCAACCCTCGACTAAAGCAATTGATCCACTACTATCAATCTATGGTGCTCTATTGACCTAATCAGGTGTTCGCTCTCATAGGATCAAAGCAGAATCAATAATCTCGACTAAAGCAGAATTGAATCATGAAAACATACATAGATTGAATATGAACTCAAGATTATCAAGTAGGAGTACTCATACAATCATCCAATCAAACAAACATGGCTAGGGTTACTCAAAACCTAAGTGAAGGGAAGTTACTCCATAGAGAAGAGAGAGACTGCAGAAATCTGATCTAGATCTTCAATCTCCATCTCCAAGCTTGATTCCTGAGCTCCAATGGCGAAGAAATCCTCCAAAATAGCTCCAAGAATGTTCCCAAGTCGCTCTCTCTCTCTCTAGGGTTCGTCCCTTGGGTGTTTGGGATCCAAAACCCCGCTCTCCTCCCTTTTGGCTCGGATTAGGCTTAAAACAGGCTTCCCCGAGTTGGACGGCCAGGTGCACGGCCGTGCACAACACCATTCTGGCCGTGCACCCTCAAAACGCACCGTTTCACTTAATCGATCTCAGCCATCTTGCACGGCCAGGTGCACGGCCGTGCAAGGCTGGATTTTGCCCGTGCAAGGCCTCGGCAGAGAGCGCACGGCCAGAATTATATGTTGCACGGCCGTGCGCCTCCCTGGTCTGCCCGTGCAGCTTGCTCAGCCTCTGTTTAATGCTTCGTTTCTCCCTCGTCCGGACTCCGAATCAGTCGCCGTTTGATCCCAGACGCTCGTAGTCTCGTCCTCTTTCGTTTCATAACAAGCTTGCATGATTCTCTGTCCATAAAGTGAGGTAGAAATCAATTCTTCTTCAGGTCATGCCCGAGTTTCTGCTCCCGAATCGCCAATTGATCTCTGATTGACTTGAAACTTGCGCCTATGCTTCACTTTATGTGCTAGGACCTGAAATGTGACAAAGGAACACAACCTAGCATAAAATAGGCCAAAGACACGGTAATTCAAGCTCAAACAATCAAGAAACAAAGGGGAAAACATGTGCAAATACCGAGTCATCATCCTCCATGTCAAAAAATTGAAATTTCTAAAACATGGGGTAAGCCCAACGTGTGTGGCACCGTTCATTGCACAAAATCGGGCTTTGGAAGAGATTTTAGTGATCCTTAGTGGGGTAGGCCTACAAGGTGAAGCTAAGCCGTCTCTAGTACAAGTAAAAATTCCACCCGTTGAACGGTTTGCCTACTCGAGAATGTGTTTTTAAGGGCACGGATAGAGCTTCTGACCCCCCCCCCCCCTTAATTTCATTGACCCTCCACATGAAGTGAGGAATAAGAGTTGAAAGAAGTACTCTGGCGAGCGACAGATGTGCAGGAATTGCTCTTCTCACCTAATAAGGGCAGACCGCCCATAAAAACTGCAGTTGGAACCCCAGCAAAAGAAAACAAGAGAAAAAGAAACAAATAATAAAGGAAATGGGTTCCAACAAGCGATATTTACACCTGTTTTTGTTCGCAATTCTTATACTGTTTGAGGCTTGGATCTCAGGTTTTAAGCTGATTTTACGCTAGGTTGTTATTGTTTATGACATTTCAGATCTTAATGCGTGAATGAAGGTTTGAACACGAGTTTGGAGTCGATTGGGCAAAATAGGGACGAGTCAAGGGAGATCAGATGAGTTTCACGGCCAGGACGGGAAAGCGCACTGCCGTGCATGGTGGCCTTTGTGGCCGTGCAGGATTTACCGAGAAGCTGCACGGCGTGACCCTGTTTTTCGCACGGCCGTGCGCGATGAAATTTTGGTCATGCTAATTTCTGCGAGAGGATTGCACGGGCAGACTATGGGATTGCACGACCGTGCGGTCGGGTCGTGCAATCGCGGGCAGCTGCATAAAAATCCAATTTCTGGTTTTGGAGGGGGGAATCGACTTTTTGGAGAAAAAATAGAGTTCTAGAGAGATAAAGTGCGAAGAACAAACCCTAGGATTGATTCTGGAGCTAGGTTTCATCAATCAAGCTTGGATTTCATCCTTGGATTATTCCCATCCTTATGACTATGACTGCTTTGATTTATGTTTTCCTCTCTCTCTATGGAGTAGACCTTTCTCTCACTTGGGTATGAAGAACCCTAGTTCCATGTGTTAGGGATCTTGATTGTAATGACTTTTGGTTTGAGATACTGCTTGATTATAATCAATTGAAGTGTGTTTATTGAGTCAATTGAAGCCTGATCAACTTTTATTGATTTCCGCTGCAACCTGAGATAGATAGAATCTGATTAGGTTGTTAGAGCTCCTTCAATTGATAGGAGTGGATTGATTATACGAGAGTTATTCAATTCAATGCTTTGTACTGGAATTCAATTTAAGTAGTGGAGTTCTGTGTTAATTGCCTTAGTGTTAATCTACCGGTTAGTATGTCTATGAGGGCTTGGTCAGCTTAAGAGATTCCAAGCTACTGTGGGATCTTCCGTAGTTTAATCAACAGTAAATCAACCAAAGGAAATTACAGCTTGGACCTAACTAAGGAGCTAGGGGGACTCATTCCCGAGTGACTCTTCTCTTGCTTCAGGAAACCGGACAATTTACTAATTTCTTTATGTTTAGTTTGAATTCACCTATACTCACTTAGTACCGCTAGATAATAGAAGTTCACGGAGTAGGCAGTAGATCTAGAGCCCGGGTTGATAAATTAAACTTACCACTATTCTGCATTTTCGTGCTGCGATTATACTTGGTCGTAATATGGTGTTGTGTAATAGCGTGTCAATAAGCTCTATTCTCAAAGTTGATACATTGTACAAGTTGAGTAATGACCTCTAAATAAAGCAAAGATTAGAATTAATTACAAGGACAAACACGAACTCTACGAAGTTTGGGGCACCAATCAGATCAAGGTGAACTTATTAAAGTCAAAGTCATTGGGCCTTTTGATACATCTTATAGGATAAGAACAAACCATGAACCTGCAACAAAAGAGAAACCTAGTCAGTTCAGCACAGATAGATCAAGCCTAGGCTACAAAAGCACGCCCAACCCAACAGGCCCAACTTGACCCAAACCTTATCCAAAACCTGTCACTGCCTACCTTATCTACAACCGACTTCGACTTTCAAGGAAGGACGGTAATTTTGCAGAGACAGCCTCAAAATAGGCCAATGACCAAGTGACACGTGTCGCTTCATTTTGCTATAAGTGAGCTCTTTGGGCTCTTTGTTGACGGGACGGAGGGGAGGAACCAGCAAAAACACTCTACAGAAATAGAATTTGAGACCAAAACTTTTTTTTCAATTCTTGCTCATAGGCGAAAGTTTAGCGGGGAGACTTGTGAGATCGAAGCAGAAGATTGTAAGATTGAAGCAAGAGAAACCATTGTTGTCCAATCAGGTTGGTGCTTATATTCTCCCACTTTCTAAATAAGAACTGGTCTCATTAATTTATCACCATACAGTTTTATACATCTACTTGCCGATTTACACTTAATCGTTTCCTTTACTTTACAAGCCTCTTTAGATTCAAGCACCCCATTTACCAAGATCTGCTCATGTCAGTTTGATTAAGCTCTTTCATTGAAGTTTTTTTTCTGGCGTATTACTAGTTTTGCCTATTCTATTACTATTAGGCTGATTAACTTAACTATGAGTGGAGTTGAATGTTTTGTTTCAATTTTCTGCCGTGATTAGATTCCACTCGTTCGTAGCCATACATACATACATATATATATATATATATATATGTGTGTGTGTGTGTGCAAATCAAAGTACAACTAAATAGCACAATTTTTTCCCCAATAGCCACTTTTAGAAGTCCATGGATCAACCTAGATCCATACCTAACGAAAATCATCCACATAAAATAAATTTCAGATTTCAACATCCACAACAAAATCTTAAGCAGTAGCAATGATTTAAGGTACCTAGTCTAGCAAAATCACAGGCTGAGGCAGTGATTTATAATTATCGAAATTATCACTTTTAGGGCAACTTAATTACTTACCCATTACAAAAACGTTTTTTTAGCAAATTCCAACATATCAAGATTTGCATCTAAAACCATCCACCAAACCATCAAAATTTCAGAATTGAGATCATTAAACACATACACAACATAATTCCAATCCATAGATCTGTAAACCAATTCTAACCGCAACACAATCCTTTTCTTGTTTTAGTTTCAGATCCCTAGTCATACCACGCTAAGTTTAGAAACCTTACCTAGATCTGTCAAATTCAAAAACCTGAGCAAAACAAAGGTAGAGGTCAAAATCAATTAAATTGGTAGTAAACCAAAGTAAATACAAGAAAATCTTACCATATCTATCCACTCCTATCGTCGTTTCTTATGTTGTGTCCGCCGCCGGCGGACAGAGAGACGGCGGCGACGCCACCCGCTTTCCCTCTCGTCCTCTACCCCTCGCGCAAATCCAAACCCAAAATAAATAAATAAAAACAGAACCCAATTTTTTAACTAAAATCAAATGAAAACTCAAAAGATCCCGACATGCAAACTTAGAGGAGTCGACCCCTTACCCTTGCTGCAATTGTCGCCGCCGAGTCCTCCTTGGTTACTGTAGCTGCTGACGGGACCCAGGACCGCCGAACCATCTATTCTCCCTCCGTCTGGACCAATCAATAGAAAATCCAAAATAAAATCCAGATTAGAATCTTAACTAAAACAAACGAATAGCACTAAAAATCGACATGCAAAGACAATATAAAAGAACAAACCTTCGAATTCCTTCCTAGTCGACGTCGCCGCCGCCGTCGGAGTATGCCTCATCACCGCCGCCGTCGCTGATTGTCCTTCCGGGTTTTTTTCGTTGTTTTCCAGAATCGAGGAGAGAAAGAGGGGGTTTGTTTCGTGGTGTTTGTTTGCATTTCAGGGGAAGAGTTTTTTTTTGTTCTTTCTTCTCGTCTCAGAGGAGGTAGAGAGAAGAGAAAGAGGTGAGAGGAGAGGAGAGTGGTGTCGTGTTTTCTTTTGTTGGCGGAAGAAGAGAGAAGAGCCGAGAGGAGAGAGAGAAAATGGCCGCCATTTGGTGAATGGATTAGCCGATTAGGGTTTCGTTTGACACTTATATACCTCAAATTTTACAACGACCAAATTACCTCTAGGGTTTCCTGGAATTTACGCGGCCCTGCCACCGTGTTTTTTAGAAGTTACGAAATTTCCCTTCCCCCTTCTCTGCACTAAAACGAAAAAATGACAAAAAATTGTAGTTAGCAAGTTTCGAACCCCCATTCTCGGAAACGAACGCGCTCTATGACTGGCAAATCAACTAGTTGGGTTGCTGGCCCATCATGCATAAATCTAATCATTCCGCTTTATTTTATTATTTAACATTCTTAATACGAAATTTAGAATGCGGATTAAGTTAATCATGTTTCTTTTCTAATACATCGAATATCTTCCTAACAACTAAAATTCTTATGTTTCTCTTAACAACCTCGTAATAACCTATTCAAATTTTATTAACAAATTCCTTAATACGAGAATTAAGTTCAGTGGAACATGGTAAAAGTTATAATTAAAACAATCAAAGTTCCTAACGAACTACGTGGACTTTGATCCCCGTCTAACGGGTATGTAGGCAACCGATAAGGTTTGAGTCCAACTAACTAATCAATTTTATCTTCAATGTTTACGTTAGTGGGCGTATAATTAAATGACAGCTAATACGATATAATTTTAGTGGTCCAGTGGGACCCTAAAAATAATATATTAAACTTATCTTTAAAATATATGTCAGTGAACGTTTAGTTAAATCATAACTAATAAACTAGCTATATATTAACGATCTAGTGGGATCTTAAAAATACACAATTATAATTAAAATACACCCAATTCTTATAAAACTTATCAACTTAAGTAGTACCGATTTAGGGCTTTGTGGGGGTGATAGACCGATAATTATACATGTTTTCACCCCTATTCTGAAGCCGTTTGTGATGAGGAATCTCGTGTTTTAAGCCGATTTCACGCTAGGTTGTGTGTTTATGTCATATTTCAGGACCCGGCGTTGGAATCGAGGCGGAGAAACGAGTTCTGGGTCGAAAGGAGCTGAGTTGGGACTAAGGGGGCTGCAGGAGGAAAATACCCGGTCAGGTGGCAAAATACCCGACCGGGTATTTATCATTTTCGGCACCCGTGAGAAACAGAGGGGGGCCCGGGCAAATGCCTTAAATCCCCGGTCGGGGATTATGAGGACAGACCGGGGATTTTCCCTTAAATGAAACGGCGAGTTTTGTAAATACCCGGTCGAAACCCAAAATACCCGACCGGGTATTTCGACCGGGTATCGCGACCAGGCAGCTGATAAAAGGAAGAAGAAGGCCAACATTGAAGGGTTCCGAGTTTTTGAGAGAGAAATCGATTCCTAGAGAGAGAAAGCGACGAACCAGAGTTCCCAAGTGCCATAGCTTGATCTTCATCACCATTGGAGCCCGGCTTGAGCTTGGAGAAGTGCCGATTAACCGTCTAGGAGCAGAAATCCGTCTTCACAGTATGATTTCCGCGTCTAAATCTGCTTTTGCTTCTTTCTCTATGGAGTAGTTCCCCCATTCATCTGGGTATGGGGAACCCTAGAATTGTATGCTAGGTCTGATTGTATGAACCCAAGTACAGAGTTTGTGAATTGATTATATTCGATTGAAGTTTGAATGATTGAATGACTTGAATACTGATCAAATTCTTGTTGTTTCTGCTTTGACCTAGAATGAGAATATCTGCCTAGGTTGGTAGAGTATCCTTAATCGAAGGTAGCGAATTGGGGACTTTAGTCGAGGAGCCAATTCGCTATTCTGTACCGAATTCCATTCGGTAGTGGGGGTTTGGTTCGTTAGGGCCTCAATCTGTTTACTCCGGGGGAGGTTAGTCGCCCGCTAGAGACTTAGATTGAGAGGGTCTGGAGACCTTTAGTCGAGACTTCAGGCTAATTAAGAACCTTCCGCAGTATAACTTTCATGAAAACTGAACTTGGTAAATTGCAATCCGACTTAACTGCAGTCTAGGGGGAACCATATCCGGGTGACCTCTCTTGACTTGACAACAACCGTTTACTTGCCTTGTGTTTTTGTTTGCTTGAGTTTGCACTAAAAGTTCACTGCTAGATAACGAGAATTCACCGAGTAGTCATCACATCTAGGACCCGGGTTGACAATAAAACCCAAACCCGCTATACTACGCTTTAGGAAGTGGTTACACTTGGCAATTTTCTAGAGTGACAGTAGGAGTGAGTCAAGTTTTTGGCGCTGTTGCCGGGGACGTCTAGGTTGTTGAAGAAAAGTGATTTCTGTTACTTTAGCATTTTCATTTTCGCATTGAGTGTTTGTTCTTTCCCACTTGTGCCTTCACGGGTTTGCATTGCTTGATTGTGTGCAGATAGTGCATGACCCGTAGCCAGTCGAAAGGTTTACTGCCGTTGGATCCAGAGATTGAACGCACCAGCCGCCAACTTAGGAGACAACAGCGAGCTAGACTGGCTACGGAAGAGCGCAGAGACGGCCAGTTGAGCAGCGAGTCTGAGGAAGAGTACGAGATGGAAGGCGATCACAACCCACCTCCGGAGAACCAGTTCCTGGGGAACGACCCCAATCCCCAGGCAGCTGGGGTCCATCATCATCCACCACCACCGGGACCCACCTTGGAGTACTACTACACTCCGCGGATTGCTGACATCCGCCCGGTCATCCTCTATCCGCCGATTCCAGCAAACAACTTCGAGATCAAGCCCTGCTGGATTTAACTCATTACATCCTCTATCCAGTTCCATGGCTTGAAGGATGAGGAAGCCCGGGCACATCTTTCCCGTTTTCTGCAGCTGACAAACGGGTTCAAGCTGAACGGTGTCCCGGATGACGCAATCCGCCTTCACCTCTTCCCCCATTCTCTGGCGGAGAATGCTAAGAGGTGGTTGGAGACCCAGCCCCCACTGTCCATCACCTCTTGGGACGATCTGGCTGACAAGTTCGTGCACCGGTACTATCCGGCATCGAAGACCACAGAGATTCAGCGGGAGATCACCCACTTCCGCCAAGAGCCAGATGAGTCACTTCGTGATGCATGGGAGCGGTACATGGGGTACTTCTGGCAGTGTCCCCATCATGGCTTCAGTGATGCTTTCACAGTGGGGAACTTCTACAGTGCCCTCACCCCAGATAGCCAGAGGGTGATCGAGTCTCTATGCCCAGGAGGGGATATTCTTACTAAGACCCCACCCGAGCTGAACCAGATGATTAGTACCTTGGCTGCCCGAGATCACTCCTGGGGGCAGAGCAGCAGAGGCAGACAGTCCCGGGACCGTGGTGTGCACGCTGTGGAGGCCAGGTCCGGGTTAGAGCAGCAGGTGGCTGAGTTGGTGCAGACGTTGAAGCAGCCCAACAGTCTCCTTCCGGGCCGTGTTGTAGCTACGCCTCCAGTAGCCCAGTGTCAGTGGTGTGAGAGCCCGAATCACCGGGTGGAGGACTCTCAGGCTATGAGGGAGTCCTCTACTCCCCAAGAACAGGTGGACTTCATCGCCAATGCTCGGCGCCTGGACCCATACAGCAACACCTACAATGAAGGATGGCGCCAGCATCCCAACTTCTCATGGGGCGGCAACAACACCAAACCCCCTGGTTTCCCATCACCAGCGGGTGGTTTTCAGCAGAGACAGCCCTTCCAGGCTAGGCAGGGGCCACCACCACAGCAGCAGCCCTACCAGCCCAGGCAGGGGCAGCCATTTCAGCAGCCCCAGCGACAGTATGCCGAGCCAGCAGCAGCCCCAGCTCCCGATAACCAGATGACCGATCTGAAGAATATTTTGGCGGCATTCATGACCACCAGCCAGGCGAATTTCACGAGGGTGGACCAGAGCATAGCCTCTCTGGAGGCAGGACAGAGGAACCAGGGTGCTATTCTGCAAGATTTAAAGCACCAAGTCGGTGCCCTAGCGCGCCAACTTACTGCACGGCCCCGGTGCACGAACTTGTCAGCCAGATCGTCCCAAGAGGTGATGGACAGTGCTGGGAATGAACAGGCTACTTTTTCTGTGACTGAGTTTGATCACTGTGCTATGATTGCTGTCACACCTGTGCATGCTATTTCTGACCAGGTACACGAGCCTGTCGTGTATCCGTCTGCATCTTCCATTTTGCAGGTTCCCCCTCTCCCTCCTTCGCCGCCGCTCCCTCCAGCCTCGCCACCGAATAAAAAGTTCAAAGAGGAGTGGCGGCCGAAGCAGCAGGTGCCTAGGCCTACTCGGAAGAAAGGTGGAGACCACTATGAGCTGGTCCCACCTCCTGCATCACGATCACCCTGGCCATCCGAGTACTCACTCGCTTGCATCCTGTCGGATGGCCAGGTCGAGCTGACCAATGCTGGTGGTTGCACCCGTCGGGTGCATGGCCACAACCTGAAGCTGTACCTCAAGAGCGACGTGGATCCGCTCTTGGAGGCACCTGTTCCTGCACCTCCCTGAGTATCCACCATGGGCGTCCAGCTAAAAGACGGTAAAGAAGGGCTTGTGGGGAGGCAACCCCACCACGGTTTGCATTTCTTTTTCTCTTTTTTCTGAGTTTTTGTGTCGGTTTTTGTTTCTTTTTCTTTTCATTTTTGGATGCTGAACTATTGGGTTGCCCATTGGACCTAACGTATGTGTTTGAGCTTTTTGGTTCCCTTTAGCTGTGCCTGTGTTCCCGACTGGTCCTCTCTCCAGTCCGTTTCATGCCGACTGGTCCTTTTCCAGTCTGCTGCAGTCTGTGCACACCGGTAACATCGTTCCCTTTTCCTTCCCTCTTCTCCATTGAGGGCAATGTCGATCTTAAGTGTGGGGGGGATGTTTATCTTTTGACTGCATTAGCTCTGTTTGTGTGATTGGAGCCTAGTCCACTGTCCAAATTTTTAAATTTGAGGGCTCCAAGTACGTGTTCCTTGCAATTGCCTGCTCAGTATGCTTTGAATTGACAGTCTCTGTAGTGATTTGCAACCTAGGGCGGTCGTGTAGCACTATGGAGGATGTTGATGCATTTAAGAAATCTCATTTCTTCTTCATATTGTGTTGGTTGATTGAGTGA